TAATCAGTGCATCTGTCACTTTGACCCTGTGTCTTCATAAACTGCAAAATAGAGTCGGAGTCTTACACATACCTTGGTAGTTCTCTCCCTCCCTCTCCCGCTCCCTTTCTCTCTCTCTCTCCTCTCTCTCATAGTCTTCCTTCCTTTGGATTTCAAAGCGCCGCTCAAACCCGTCCTTAGGCCTCCACATGTCCACTAACAACAAGGGACATTCCCATGGGGCAACACCTCTCCGGCACTCTGTCTCCCACTTGATAGCTCCATCTGGCTGCTGGATGGGCTTTCCAATGACATCACACAACAGGAAGTCCTCTGGGCTGTGTTTCTGGAGGACTAGAAGGTAATGAAGGAAGGGAAGAAGAGGGGAGGGGTAGTTATTTTTCCATAACACTGCTGTTTATGTTTATATTAAGTCATTCCCAATTGGTTAAAAAAATTTGAGCAAATAATTCTACAGCAGAGGTCCAAATGAGAGAAAATTTCCCCCTCTCATACCTGCGTCATCTGTTTCCTCTCTCTCTCTCTCAGTGTAGCGAGTGATGACCTGGGCGATGAGCTGCCTGGCTGTAGAGTGGATGTTGGCCAGCAGGGAGCGATAGTTGGCTCCACTGGACAGGGCATCTCCATAGATCTTAATCAGGCCTGGGGCAGAGGAAGAGGCAGGGGGCAAGTAGTGGTGGGAGGAGGGGGTAGCTGAATGAGCCCAAACCTCTCTCTCCCTCTCCCCCACCGCCCGGTCCCGGTCGCTGTTGGAGCGCCCCCGCAGAAATAGATGGGAAAGGCGCTTTGTTCGAGACTGGGGCCCAGCAGGCCGTGGCCTGAGGAAGGCTGGGGAGGGAGATGGGGATGGGGTAGGGGAAGCCAGCGAGGGGGTGGAGTTAGAAAGGGAAGAGGAAGGAGCAGAGGGGGCCTCGTGTAGGGAGGCTGCGTCAGAGCTGGTGGTCGACCTGGTAACAACAGAGGAGGGGAAGACAGATGGAGGAGAGAGGAAGGAGAAAGGAAGGGACCAGTCAGCTGTGAATTATGACTGACAAACAACAAGGACTAAAATAAAACAAGGAAAGGTTACAAGGTTTAAAGGATCTTAATGACAGTGGAAGTAAGATAAGATGACATCAATACACAAACTGTTCATTCAACAATACTTATCAGGAACTGAACTCTAACTAAACAATAAGTGCCACGAGAGTTGCTTAACCTGAGACAGAATATTCTTGATATAGAAGCAAAACAGGAATAAAAATGTGAGAACTTCAGACTAACTTGACAGAGATAGCGCTGGGCCAGCGACCTCCTAGCTTGGCAAAGTGTTTCCTGGGCGAGTTGATCCACAGACCCACTGGGAAATGGAGCTTTCTGAAGCGAGGACTGCCAGACCCCTCCATCTGACAGAAAGAAATTAAGGAGAAATTTGGCTTTTCAATTCAATTACATTTAGTATGTCAACACACTGTAAATGTCATGTTTCCTCCAATCTGCCTCCCCACTGTAGTGAGGAATGTGTTGCAGTAATGCCAGGATTGAAACAATATAACAATAGAATGATGTCACCTTCAAAATAGATCAACAGGATACCTACAGCAGGTTGTCAACATGGTGAAAACAGACAAAAAATGAACCCAAACCCCCCCAATCAGCCCTCTGAAAATCATAGCGTGTAATGCCCATTCTCAAACAGGAAGCATGTTTTGTGGGACTCAAGTCCAGCTGTCGTAGTGACAGGGAAAAACCCACTACAAAGGTCACTGCCTGTCTATTTCTCAGTGTAACTTCTATGTAAATAAACCACCAAAATCTGAGAATCACGCTTGTTTTTTTCTCCTTAGCAGGTGGAATTTGGATCTAAAGATAATCATTGTACTCCATTGGAAAACTATCAAAGTTTTTTTATGCGCTTTTTCAAGCATAATCTCTGACAAGACTGAAAATCTTGTCATATCTTGACATGTGTGTCCACAGCTAAAAAATCTGTTGTTGTCATTCTAGACAGAAAAGACTGAGGTTTTAAATAATCATCCTGTCCTCGATATTGTGGTGGAATGTTTTGAAAAAACATCATATCAAAATGAAACAAGAAAATAAATCAAGTGTTTTTAGAATATTAGAATATGAATAAACTTACCCACAGATACTTCTGATCCTTCTATAGTGTGTTATGATTATCCTTTGCCAGCTGAATGCTAACACGCAGCTCAAAGTAATCTAACAACCTTATATGTCTCCTTCTCCTCACAACAAAATTCCATTTTTCAAAGGCCTAAACCTTTCACACATCTATATACACATGTCTAATTCTAATCATCCATTTCTCTGAACTGAAATACCCTTTTCTTTAGTTTTTCTCTCTAACTGGACAAGCTCTGCTCCCTCTCTTCCCCTGGCTCTCAGCCTCTCTGGGTCTATAGATAGAGAAACAGGCCCATTGTTCTAAGTGACAGAATTTCCTTCCTTTGCAGTGGACAACACCTATATCCTGACTGAGTGAGAGAGAGAGAGAGAGAGAGAGAGAGAGAGAGAGAGAGAGAGGGAGAGAGAGAGAGAGAGATTGGTAGAAAGCAAGAGAAGGGTGAATTTACACACACATATGGGACCTTGTTGGGAATATTATATACGATGTTGTACACCACAAAGCTATCTGTCTATTTTTTGTCTGTGTGTATAAACGGAAATGTGGTGTCACCCTTTAATCCTAATAGATTTTAATTACATCAATCTAAGCACCGGGACACGTTCTCATTTAAATCCTGTACTATGTTGTTGTTGTGATTTCATGATCATGCTGCATCACACAACACAGAGAAAATGACCCAGTTTGTAGTTTTTGCTGGAAAGAGGATGAAGGAAATGCACACAGTGAGACAGGAAACTAGAGGGAGCAAGAGAGACACCTGTGATCTTTGACCTGGTCTACAACAGGAAAATGGTGATGGAAAGAGAAAGGAGACTATCACTGTGTCCCAGTTAAGGGGCTCAATCCTCTGAAGTCCACATTGCTAGACCGAATACGTCATAACTCACAAATAGGTTTGTTCCATTTCAAAGGCTCCTCCACTTTGTGTGTCCGTACTGAAAGAGAGGAGAACAGCTTACTTCCATTTAAATGTGGACAATATGAACAGTAACTGTAACAGTAACTGCCAATCATATTTATAAGCAATAGACTGACTGACAGATCTAGCAAAACTAATAAAATACTGTTGTATGACTATTTAACGTGTGTGGTCACTTCAAAAGACAAATACAGATTGTAAGCCTACTGCGTTATGTTGTCAAACATTTTAAAAAAATGTTTAATCAAAGGAATTTAAAAGTAACAGGCTACTATAATCATTACAGTTCAAGTGGTTATATCATAAAAATGGTATTTTTCTGTATCCTGACGGGCAGCGACCTTCACTTGAATCAAGAATCTCATGACTTTAAATGGCAATTGACAAGTTAAGAAAGACTTGCATTTTGACTTTGACACTAACAATGATTTGTGACTGAAATACCCATGCCAAGCACAGAGATTAAAACTTAAATTGTTATTATGTGGGCTATTTAAAAATGGTGTCTGTGTTTGTCATGGCAAACAGAAGCAGAGTATTTGGCCATATTTGGCAAAAAAAATATGAGTGTGGAACACATTGAGAATACAGATGGACGTCAGAGGAAGGGATCATGTCAGTTTGAAATGTTGCAAAGCATATTTGGTATTTTTTTAAACCAACACAAATTCAAGCTGACCACAGTTGCAGTCTTCTGAGGAAAAGAGGAAACATAACTAAACTTGAATTTTACCAGCCACCGTTCCAGCCTAGAAGCTTATTTGATACTAAAAGGAGGAGTATTGCTTTAAGTTGATCTTAACTTGTAATTGGATAGTCCAGTATTTAGTGAGATGACAGTCTTTGTATCCAAGATCAGGCAACCTAATGTTATTTAGCAAAATCAATAACTTAATATGTGTTAGATGTAAGTCTTTCTAACCCCAATCCAAACCCTAACCCAATACAGCAATTGATCTATTTTGTCTCTTTTGCACTAGATTTTAAAGCAGAACTGATCTCGCAATTACAGGTGCCTTCAGTAGGATACCTTCTCTGTACCATGCTACATTTACACTCCATGACACACCCATTGCTAAGCAACCAAATCTCATCTAATGAGAGATGTGAATTTCTTCTCTCATAAAGCTGTAATTCTTGTTCCCAACAATTATGATAAGTTTGATTGATACATTTTTTCACTATTTCTGACATTTTATACATTAAAAATAATATTCACACTTATTGATAATGAAACGAACTGTTGGTTGAAGACTTACCGTTCTCCTTTGATGGAATAATACGACCTTGTCCGACATGTGTCTTAATTACAAATTACAAAAAAATCAAAGCAATTTCATAAAACAAAACTTTACAATAAATGACTGCAATACAAACTAAAACAAGTTACATCTTAAAAATAGAGTTTTACAAGTAACAAATGTGTGATTAACCAATGTGGACAGAAATTATAAGTAAGTAAATCTGGGGCTTTTGATAATCCAGCCTTGTTATTTACACTTCTTACAAGATATTTGCTTTTACTGTGATTATTTCACTTCTGCCACACAACTACCATTTTGACACAAATACATGATTACAAGAGAAGATAGGCAAGTGATAATTATTACAGGTTTTAAAACTCAACAAAACTCAGTAGAAATGTTTTTTGGAACATGAAAACTGAACTTGAGTACAGGGAGAAAAAACTTTATAACAGTTTATGTTTTACTGTCTAAATATGATGCTGAGAAGAAGGAGCTGATACTCGACCTTTGAGATGTAATGATAGCGTTTTCAGTTTCAACATCTTAGGAGAACAAATTTTCTTTTTCATTTTAATTTTCTTTCATTTATTTACCATTATTATTAGCTAAATGCTAGTTAGAAGAAGAAGTAGAAGCAGCAGAAGAAGAAGAGGAGGAGGAGGAGGAGGAGGGGGAGGAGGGGAGGAGGGGAGGAGCATATATCCCAGCATCCTGTGCGCGTCGACGAAGAAGGACATCTCTCTAAAGAGGACACAGCAAGAAGCGTCCCAAGGTTAGCTGTCGGCAACTGATATTTGGTGTTATTTTTTTCTGCACGACCTTCAACTTCTTCGACTTTATCTGCCAGGCTTTCTCGTGTTTTAATCTACCAAAACTGTTGGAACAAGCAGGCGTTTTCAAGCGTGTTACTTATCGATCAAGTGTAGATACGTGTTAGCTAGTGAGCTAACATGCTAACGGGTAATCAAAGCTAACTGTGGTTTTAACGCGGTTCTATTCTTTGTTTCTGTCAGCACAAATTTATATTTATACTTACGGCTGATAACAATTAAAGATTCAGTAGCGTAAAACGCGTAAAAGATCGTATCACAAAGCTAATGTTAACATTTGATTATAACGCTATATGTAGCTTAGCCAGATGACGTCGAGCCTTGTGTGTTTGTGTGTTGAGGTTAAACTGATTGCTGCCTTCATCTGACATTTGTATAAACCTATTGGCAGCTATAAATTAATCCACCCTATGCCCTTTTCCCAGAATCGTTTGGACGTGTATCTGAAGCTGATTAAAAATGTCTGAGACTATTGAGGAGAAGCTGAAGAACTACAGGACGGCTCCCTTTGACGCCCGATTCCCCAACACCAACCAGACCCGCAACTGTTACCAGAATTACCTGGGTTGGGACAATAAAGACTTTTAATTAAACTAATCACACAACGTATAAAAGGACATTGTATACATCTTAACATATAGTCTTTTCTTAACCCAACCTTCAGATTTACATTGTGCACCATACCAAAGATGGCTGACAGTTAACACAGGCTTACAAATCTGTCATCATTCATTCACATGAAAAAGCTTTTAGGATATGATCTCTGCACAACATTAGTAGTATTGAATTGCAAATTGTTGACAAATTCCTCTTGCAGCCTGCAACTAATGATTATTACTGCTGATTAATCTGCTAATTACATTCTCGATTGGAAACTAATTAATCCATTGGTCATAAAAAACAAAACAAAAACACATAAAACAGCACAATGTAATTTGCTCTTTTTTGAATGTTGCAATAGAAATGTTGGCCAATTTCCTTGTGATAATTAAACAAATGATAATAGTAATAGTTCAAAGTATTATGATGAAGCTAGCTAACTTCCTCACAACTTCCTAACAGGGGTATGATTAATCACTTACCACTTCACATTTAGACAATTAGGATAAGCTCTGTGTTACACTTTTTCTGTCCAGACTTGGATGTTGTCATGCTGCTATTCTTAGATATTTGTAGCTTTGTTTTGCAGTGTTATTGGTGTGAACGTTGTATAATTGACATCTTGAGCCCTTTTTGTTATTTTTATGTTCCAGACTACCATAGGTGCAACAAGGCCCTGACAGCCAAAGACCAGGATCTGACTCCCTGTCAGTGGTACATGAGGGTTTATAAGAGCCTGTGTCCCATGAGCTGGGTAAGTTGGAGGGCTTCAGCTCTGATAGTTCACTCTTAACATATGTTCACGTGTCCTTTGGGGAATATACCACAATGGTCGTTTGGAAGTGAATATAGTCAGTGCTCGATAGCCAAGGCTAGCGTTTGTAGCCCAGACAGTCTTGTTACTTTACTGCTTCTTGCCATATTGTACTTTGTTCTCTTTTGCTTTCATCATTTTTAATGTTGAGGCATCAAGTGCCACTTATTTTTGTTCTGCGACTGTCAATAATTTAACTTTAGGTAGTGTCTGAGTTTGAGGTTCTGAGACCTACATTAAATTAAAAGAAAGGACTGGCAGATAAATACATTGCCAGAATATATGGCTGATATTTTGCTCTGTCTCTTGCAGGTTGCTAAATGGGATGAGCAGATCGAAAATGGATCTTTCCCGGGCAGGATCTGAAATCTCCAACCATTATGGCTCAGGACAGTCAATTGTTACTTACACCTTTACCTCTGTACTGTAGTGGACCTTACAACATACATGAATTCCTTACAGCTATCACATCTTCGTCATCACTAATGTTACTTAAACTATAAACCTAAACTATAAACACGCACAAGTTTTTACGCTGCATGTCATGGTCTGAAGTTTGTTTCCAATCTTTACTCTTCGGCAGTGTTTAATCAATAAATTTAATGCAGATTTAATTAAAGGGGCGTTGTTTATTACTTAAGCTTTAATGTTTTGTTGTACTTAATTGAACTCTGGGGTATTTCTCTAAGCTGGGCATGGATAATGTTTTCCTTAAATCAGTAACTTAATTTTACAAAACAGGCCTGGTTGCCTGTCACTGGATTTGATATTGTTAAGTACTGTACCTATTTAGGGGTAGATGAAATGGAAATGTTTTCTTCTCTGGTAGTTAATCACAACCATATTTAAGGCAGGGCAAGGTAACACTATGAATTAAGTTCATCTGACGACTGACACTGGGATTGTCCAATAAATACATCATTTTATATATATATATATATATATATATACATATACATATACACACAATATACAGCGCGTTCCAAATTATTATGCAAATGTTATTTTTCTCAGATTTTCCTAAACAGTCGATGCAAATGATAGTCAGTATAATTTTCAAGTCAACCGTTAGAGTATAATTAAAATTTTATTGAACAAACCTCCCAATGATAACAGTATTTTTTTCAAAAATAAAGTCAAAATGCACTCTTCCAAATTATTATGCACAATAGAGTTTCAAAACATTTTATAGGTTGTAAAGAGCCAAAAATGGTAATTTGTTGAATTTGCAGCATTAGGAGGTCATATTTACTGAAATCAAAAGCTATTTAATTCAAAAACATCTTAACAGGCCAAGTTACATGTTAACATAGGACCCCTTCTTTGATATCACCTTCACAATTCTTGCATCCATTGAACTTGTGAGTTTTTGGAGAGTTTCTGCTTGAATTTCTCTGCAGGATGTCGGAATAGCCTCCCAGAGCTGCTGTTTTGATGTGAACTGCCTCCCACCCTCATAGATCTTTTGCTTGAGGATGCTCCAAAGGTTATCAATAGGGGTGAGGTCAGGGGAAGATGGGGGCCACACAATGAGTTTCTCTCCTTTTATGCCCATAGCAGCCAATGACACAGAGGTATTCTTTGCAGCACGAGATGGTGCATTGTATTGCATGAAGATGATTTTACTACGGAAGGCACGGTTCTTCTTTTTAATACCACAGAAGAAAGTGGTCAGTCAGAAACTCTACATACTTTGCCGAGGTCATTTCCACACCTCCAGGGACCCTAAAGGGGCCTACCAGCTCTCTCCCAATGATTCCAGCCCAAAACATGACTCCGCCACCTCCTTGCTGACGTCGCAGCCTTGTTGGGACATGGTGGCCATCCACCAACCATCCACTACTCCATCCATCTGGATCATCCAGGGTTGCACGGCACTCATCAGTAAACAAGACTTTGAAAATTAGTCTTCATGTATTTCTGAGCCCTCTGCAACCATTTCTGCTTGTGAGCATGGTTTAGGGGTGGCCGAATAACAGGTTTATGCACAACTGCAAATCTCTGGAGGATCCTACACCTTGAGGTTCGCGGGACTCCAGAGGCACAAGCGGCTTCAAATACCTGTTTGCTGCTTTGTAATGGCATTTTAGCAGCTGCTCTCCTAATCCGATGAATTTGTCTGGCAGAAACCTTCCTCATTATGCCTTTATCTGCACGAACCCGTCTGTGCTCTGAATCAGCCACAAATCTCATTACAGTACGACGATCACGCTTAAGTTTTAGTTATATATCTAATGTTTTCATACCTTGTCCAAGGTATTGCACTATTCGACGCTTTTCGGCAGCAGAGAGATCCTTTTTCTTTCCCATATTGCTTGAAACCCGTGGCCTGCTTAATAATGTGGAACGTCCTTCTTAAGTAGTTTTCCTTTGATTGGGCTCACCTGGCAAACTAATTATCGCAGGTGTCTGAGATTGATTTCAATGATCCAAAGAGCCCTGAGACACAATACTATCCATGAGTTTAATTGAAAAACAAAAAATTAAATGTTTATGACACTTAAATCCAATTTGCATAATAATTTGGAAAGCGGTGTATATATATGTATGTATATATATATAAAATGTATAAGTACAGTCAAGCTGTACGGTCTCATCTCTTTCATTTACTAACAACAAGAAACATTTTAAAAACTGGAAAATCTAATAGACTTCTGTTAATGGCAGCTTTACTGATTTTGTATCATAATCGATTGTACTATAATTTGGGCTGGAAATCTTTCTGTATGTATCTTTCTGTAATGAACAGGTATTATGTCACTGGGTATATGCAGGTCCAATGGAAATCCTGAAAAATCACAGTGATGTATTACCTTAATAACATTCTCAATAGTAACCCAATTTTTCATGATGTACAGATACTGCTTTAGTCATCAGGTTTATTTTGGAGTGGAGATATTGCCAATAACAAATTTTCATACTCTAGATTGAACTGTAGTCGTCCTGGATTACGCAATATAGTCTTCATCCGTCTTGATTTTTTTGAATGCTCATGTTGCCTTCACCAAGATACTTTAAATCATACTTTCACCAGAAATGATTTTTCCCACAGGGTGGCAGTGTTTTGAAATCAAATGCTTATTTTGTTGTCATTCCCAATTTTAACCACACTGTGGCGCCCATAGACAGAGACTAGCATGTCACTGGCCAAACAACTTTCTAACTTGTTCATTTTAAACTCAAAGGCCTTGAGGCTGTTGTTTGTTAATGTTGATGTAACTCTGGAGATGGGAAATATTTGGATTAATTTAATGCTCTGAGGCAAAGCACGTTTACCTTCACACACTGCGATCTGTCAGTAAAGTAGTTTTGAAACCAGCTGACTGCCTGCTGAGACAGGCCAACATATAAAAGGCAAAGTTTTAATTAAATGAATAGCATTGTGTTACAGTTCAGCGCTAGCACTTCTGTTCCCAGAGCACAGCTGTAATCTTCCTTTGATTATCATCAGCTCACCACAACTTCTACTCGCACCCGTTCACCTCAGCTATGCTACAATATGTTCTGACATGCCTGAATGGGTGGGTGTCCCTCCTCTGTGCTCATTTGTAGACCAAATAAACTTCTCCCCTTGGGATTTTTGTTTTTATTGATACCGCCCTCATAGCTGTGCTTGTGAATTTCTGAAAAAGTCACTAAAAGTGAGTGGGACATTACTAGAAACTATTTCCATGGAGTTGTGACTTCCAGGGAACTGTGGACAGCATTGTATGATGGCATATTTGGTCAGTGTTGGAAGTCAACGAGAGTCAATGTAAAAAAAAAACACAAGGTGGCACTGTGGAACAAAATTTAAATCAGTAAAAACTGTCCACATATTTCTCCATCCCTCTGTAGCAACAAGCAACAGATTAACCTAATAAATTAGGTTGTAATCCTGGTGAACCTGCACCAACAGATTAGGTTCATGTTTTTCATTTTCAAACGTATGAATTTATGCAAACGATATTTAGAATATTTCTATTTGATGCAACAAGGCAGCCATTTTAAACATGACTGTTTAAATAATTGTCTCAATGTACGGAAGGCCTTTTGGAATAGGTTAAGTTAAGTGCCGAAGTAATCTAGATATATGTAATGAAGTGTGGCGGAATAGAGTGTTTTCTTCCCTTAACCTTTGAGCTATATGGGAAATCTTTGGTTATAGAAGTTCATTACTTGTGTTTATCAATGCTTTTTGTTGTTCCAAATCCAAACATTGTTAAAGCAAGACATAAATTGGCTGCTTTGGTGTGGTGCAATACTATGGTCACAGTAAGCAAGCAAAGGAAGGAACAGGCTCTACTTGTTGACTTTATCTTACTTTTTTTTTTTTTAAATCTTACAGGGTGCTTCCAGCTAGATTGTAAAATCTGACTTTCAGTTTTAAAATGTGAGTGAAAGGCCTGCCTTAACATTTTAGGTTAAGTCAAAAAGTATCATTTGTTCTTCTAACACCACCATGTTATCTTGATTAAATATGGCATGTTGTGTAAACCCTAGTTTGGTTAATTTATATATATTTTTAAGGTATTGAACTGTTGTGGTAGTTGTTTGAACTTGCACAAACTTTATCTTGTTTACTTGATTTAAGTTTAATTTTCTCTGTTTGTGCAGTGGCTGCTTCTGTTGGAGCCTAACAGCCATGATTTATCTTCACACTCCAGGGTGCCATCATGTCTTTAAAAACTTAATTTAATGAACTGAGTGAACTAGCAGCAGTTCATTCATTTGTTCATCATTTCATGTTTATAAGTGCTTTAGTGGTCTGAACCAAAACTACAAATTTTGACTTGAATTAAGTTGAAATTAACAAAAGTTGTATATCTATATCAAGTTAATGAGAAACAATCAGTTGATTCCACTAAATAACTGTATGGTGTTTTACAGGGTAGCAGCACATACAGAAGTGTAACATTTTCACTTTCATGAAAACATTGGCAACAGTTCACTACACAGACGTTTCGGGCCCAGCCTACAGGATGTGGTTGGCAATGCTCGCTCTCTCTCTCTCTCTCTCTCTCTCTCTCTCTCTCTGTTTTCTGTTTGCTCTTTGCAGGTGTCTTATAATTTAATTTGCTCACTCAGGCCGGGTCACTGGAGGAGATGCTGCAGTATCAGTTTCCATGGCAACGGCTCAGGGGATGCTGGGACAGAGAGGTGTAGTTTCTAAATGAAAAAAAAGTCAAGTACAAGCACTTAGGGCACTGCAAAAATTGAACCTGAAATTCTGCACGTCCTCTCTCCTTCACTCTGTTACTTCCGTTTATTTTCAGGGCATTGTGTGATGATTGGTGATTTCAAGACTGACTGTAATTCCAACTAAGTGAATTACACATAGAAACCACATGAACAGGACATGTTTTTTTTAGGGCACTACCACCACAGGATGTCCGGTAACTTTCTTTTTGTAAAAAAAAAAAAGAATCATCTCACTATTGAATTGAATCAAATGCATTATTGATGAATTACCTCTGCTTTGCAGGCCTCAGGAATTGTGTAGTTTATCTGTGTGGTTTATCTTAATTTAGAAAAACAGACACAGAGGCTCTAACATTCATCACTGCATCACTTGTAATGTGAGTGGACCTGTCCAAAAGTAGGCTTGTATGTTTTGAGGTGTTCAAAAGTATATCAGTACAGTATATACATATATAACCTGTTGTCATTGTTTGATATTCAAAGTCATATGTCAGGGTTATCATGGTTTGGGTTTGGTTTTCTATGCGGTTTGAACATCTGCTGGAAACACATGTTTACTCCTTCCTGTTTTCATAGTGACATAGTGACTCTCCTCTCATGGATGAGGGAGTCATCTCTAAATTCTGATACAGTGTGTGATGACCGCTTTATAAGTCATATGAAGGATGACCACAGAGATGAGTTCTCACCAGTTCAAACAGGCATGACCTGTGTGTACTGTTAGAAATAATCTGCCTTTCATGAAGTTAGATGCTGTTTTAAAACTAAAACTGTAACGAAGGAGAGCATTAAAATAGGAATATAAATAATTGACATATATTTAGTTTTGATGGCAACACCAAATATCCTATTTCCGTTCATTTGGTTCAGACTGAAAGCAGATATTAGCTGTGTTTACAGTATGTCTAACATTGCTCGAATTGGACTGTTATGTACAATTTATACGATCAAATGTCAGATGAAAAGAGCTCAGAATGCTGGGCCCAGACCGTCCGAAACCAGCTGAAACAGAGCAGGCTGGTATTTGAGGCCAAGTTAAGACAGTGATTTTGATTGGTGAGGACCAAAACTCATAATTACTCCATTATCTATTTTTGCATAATTAGAAGCTGTCCTTGTATAATACTGACCAGGCTGCTGAAGGACATAGAGGTCATGTCCTGGGTATTTGTTGGTTTTAACAACCTGGGAACTAAATCCAGGCTTCATTAGGCCTAATGGGCTGCCTAAGATCTCAATATATATATAATATATATAATTTAATACGTAATTGAATGAATAAAATCAGAAAAGTTCAAACAGACAGACTTATTTACAGACTTATTTTTGTTGTCTGGTTGTTGCTGTATTCACCAGTTGCCTCAGTATTTCTTAAAATCCTTCCTTTAAGGCTCTGGGCTGATAATCTTTCATATCTTTGAGTTGTTTCTTGAAGCTGGGCATATTTGTGAGAGTCTTTGTTTAATACACTTCCAGACCATTACCAGAACAGTAAAAATAGGAACCTACCCTGCTCACTTACTGGATTTACAACCTCGCATTTTTCTGGAGAACTTGTCAAATTCCAGACTGAGATTTAGGTGGGCTGTGAAAGATTAGACATAGCTGATGAAGAATTATGAGGGCTCCCCATTTGTTTGCCACCCACTGAGCCGGTCTTATGATTTTTGCATGATCGGGCTTTGTATCTGAGCTCCGCGCTCATTGCCTTTTGTTCTCGCGCCCCCGGTGGGCAGCCGACGGGGGCAGCAGCAGCACAGAGCCTCCTTTCACCGGCTGCCGTTTGTTCTCCATCTCTGCTTCGTACGCTCGCCCGAGCACGTCCCCAATTTCTTCGCAAACGCATCTGCGCCGCTGCCACCGGCATTACGACACAGCGGATACACTGGAAATTCAAGCCTACGTGTTTTGCGCACGGCGGACCGCTCGTGAATGTATGAGTAAGAGAGGATGAATAAAACGTGCCTGAGAAGTTTACCGCTTTCTATAAAAGCACAGACAGACAGAAAGTAGGATTGATCATCTGTCATAGCCAACAGGTCAGAACAAGACGGGTTTACTGGATATATCAGGGCTGGCACCACATACCGGTAAACAAACATTTATTTTTATTCATCACTCCGACTCATTCATGCGGTTTGTCACTAGGAAAAAATGTCGTCGGTAGTTAATTTTAGATTTCAGTTTATCATTTTATTATATTAAAACTAACTCAGAGCGTGTTATGAAATATTTTCAACTTAATTTCTTTTTAAATTCCAGTCGAGTAGCGCAGCATCACCTGCAGCTCCATCGCACCATGTGGATTGTTAAAGTCTCTGCAGGCCACTGAGATGCTGTTTTATCTCTGTATTGTTAAGAATAAACAAAGCGACAATAATTACATTTGAAGACCTCGAGTTACATCACTTTCCTCTTCACATTTCATAATTAGAGAGAGCAGAGGAGGAGGGTGAAGAGGGAAGCAGAGGGAGGGGTTTACTCACTGACTCCTGTTGAATTCGGAGAGTGCAGCAAAGTGCTTCATCTGTCTGGGCCGGGTTGCGCACTGAGTTCTTTAGGTCTGTAGTCCACAGTCTTTACTGGTATAAGATGTAGGGAATAGTAGTAGTTTCAGTCCGAAGCCACGGGATCTATTTTAATATTGTAATGCTGAAGATGTTTTTTGTCTCTTTAAATGTTTATTTAAGAATAAGTATAATGAATGTTTGCTACAAAGTTATCATATCTGCTTCCTGTGTTTGTTTCTTTTCAGGTATTTATACTGCTTGTCCCAGAGGGGTGTGTTCATAAGGAGTAAAAAGCAGCTCAGTGCAAGAAGCCTCAGTGTGTGATCTGAAGCGTTCCCGTGGTTTTCCTCTGATTATCTTCTAACAAGCACCAAAGATGGAGCGGATGGAGGATGAGAAGGTGAATATAACAGTTTACTGGTTTACTGCTGTGCTGGGTAGCTGCTTCTGCAACGCTGTCATTTTTTCTACACTTACAATCATTTTCACATTTCTGTAATTTCTTCTTGAACGTAAACACATATTTTATCGTCTGTTAAAATTCCCAGTGCTTCCCTGAGGAAGAGTGTCAGCCTGGCTGTTGCCCATTTGTTTGTTTTACTGAGCCTGTTTTGTCCCTGTTTTGTCCCAGCACCTCCCAGTGACTTAGAGTGTCTTATATAGGCTGGTAATTCTGTATTTTTCCTCTCTGGCAAGAGCAGGAACTGGTGATGTGAGATGTGTACTTCAGGATGTGACTAATAGGGAAAGACAGGGAGACTGGGCTGTTGGGGGCAAGTTTGAACTTGAATGTGCAAGTTAGTTTCTTGCTTTTATTTGTATGCTTGCGTAGAGAGGTGGGTTGAGGGAATAGCAATGGTGAAGAGAGATCTGGAACAAGGGGAGGGTTGACAACTTGGTACTGGTGAAAACACCAAGTGTTTGTCAACTAAAAAAAAAAAAAAATTAAAATCAACATGAATTTGCTGCTGTCTCTGAACTCGCTGTGCCTTTGCTAACCTTTCCTGTGGTTTCTGTTTTGAAACATGTTGCATGCAGTTACTTCATTTTCGTGGCGGTTACTTAAGATTTTCACATCCACTGTGTTGGTGTAGCTACCCAACATACTACTCTCAATACTGGCATGCCCTGCAAAATGCACAAAATGAGTGCACGGTAATATGCATTTGCTCGGTTAATATTAATCAGATATGCTGTGCTGAAGAGAAAATTGTGTAATAGGGTGGCTGCAAAGCTAAGGTTCATGAAGAGACACAAGAAAGGGTAAATGCAATATAGTTAAAAATAAGAGAAGTAACTATGTATTAAATATGGGAATGAGAAATAGTGATTAAGATGATATGAATGTGGAAGTTGAGTGTTGAAGAGAGGAGGCAGGCGTTAGTCCAGCATCACTCTTCTGACTATTGCGAGGGATGATGAAATGCTGAAATCATAACGCTGTTGAAACACAGTGTCACGTGGTTTGGAATAATTTCTTAATTTTTCTAAAAAAAAAAAAAAAATGTAATGTTAGGGGTTAAAAAAAGAACTAAACGTAAGCACAAGAAAAGACCAAATGAAGAGAGTAAAGTTCATTCTTGACCTCGAAAACAGCAGTTAAGAAAACAATGTCGCCACAAGGTCCATTTAGTACTTGTTCTGGAGCTTTCAGTCATATCACATGATCTTCATGCGCAGACAGTTTGAAGTGCAAAAGTTCAACAAGTTCATATTTTCTGAGCACTAGTCTCAGCTCAGTGAGTTCATTTTGTCAGTATTCACATTACTGTTTACATTTCTTGGCATGTAATCAATTTTGTGACAGTGTGCGGAATGGCAATGACGAATGTGAACAGGTATATGTTGTATCTACAGCTGCAGAGGTTGGTCAAATGAAATGAATACATGACAGCGCAGCCACATGCCTAACAACATGTTGATACAACGTCAGCTGCATCATGGTCATAACATACACAATGCTTCTCACTCAGTGGGACGCTCCCCAGTTAGAGACACTGTTGTAACAAGAGGGTGATTAAAAGGTGGAGTCATCTTGTCTAAATCTTACTCAACAGCAGCGTGTTCCTGCAGATCTATCTGACATATCTGTTTCACACACACACACAAACACACACACACATGTACACACACAACCACACACACACACACACAGACACACACACACACACACACACGTACACACACAACCACACACACACACACACACATGTACACACACAACCACACACACACACACACAGACACACACACACACACATGTACACACACAACCACACACTTGCATGCAGTTGCTCCTCATCTAAAAATCCTCTAGAAAGATAAGACTGTGCTGCACCCTTTATTTCCTTTTTAGGTTATCTGAGGTCATCTTGTTTGACTTCAATGTATTGATTGTAAAATAACAGATGTAACATTATTTGATTATTATTATCAACCATTAGATCACTTTTTATTTTTTCCCTCCTCAACTTTATCATGCATTTGTTTTACCAGCGTGTTGTATTTCCTTCCCCCTACTCCCTGTCACTTTATCACATATGCAGCATTTCCTATTTTCAAGACATTCAAGATACTCTCTGTCCGTCACAGACGTAACGCCAGTACGTTCGGCTTGTGTTGGACCATCATATCACTCTTAGAAACACAGTGTAGCTTGATTACAACTATACCACTATCTGACTGTGGTGAAATATTTTCTGACATCATTCCACTGTCATCATTTCAAGTAATTCTTCACTTCCTCTTGTGCTGTTTCACTGTGTCGAGTGGTGGTTTATGGTAACTTAACAGGCACCTGATACAAGCAGCCATGAATATCATGTGCTTCAAATACATTTCTAATGCTTTTGTTGTCAATAAGGAACCTGAAGTTCTCAGTTGAAACTCAGTAGATCAGAAGAGGGAGACTCTTTTAAGTTCCCTTTTGATTTTTGTATTAAGGCATTTTTTCCAAATGAACACACAGTTTCATGATGTTTGGAGGAATTTGGCATTTTATCTGTGCAGATAGTGATATCATGTACGGTAAATGCGTGGGACAAAACTCGCTGTGCCTGGCTTTGAACATGTTTGTTGCTACATGAGGTTATTTTTTGACTTGACTGTGATTACAAATTGTACAAAACAGTGTATTCATTTGCTGGTGGACATCATGAATGTTTCAGTGATGTTGCAAAGTCGAGTTAGTGCTGAAACAGCAGCAGGTTTTGAGAATGGATGGATTAAACGAGATGATGAAAATGGATTTTCTTTCTTTATTGAGCCTTTTTGGACTTTAACCATTAGACTCTGGATATGATTAATAACTTTTACAAAACTTTTTAGAAAGTTTAAGCATCATAGTAAATGCATAAGAGATTGGGTTAGTTCTTAAGTCAAAGTGAAACTTTGATTGGGGATGTTCATCTTTGACATCTCTACATAGTAGACTGGGAACTGGCGACTTTATTCAAACTAATGACTACCTTCAGTTCTGCTTGCTTTGATACTTTAACATATTGTAAGTTTCACTCCCCTGCCATGCAAGGGATTAATGTCAGGTGTATTAGCTTGTTATTATGAGCTAAATCCACTTTAATTCTGAAACCAGCGGGGAAAAAACACTTACAATAGGATTCAGTCTTATTCTCTTGGGGTGTATTTAGCTACTTAGCTGAGAAATACCTCAGAGCTGCGAGTCATGGAGCCCGCGCCGTGTTGTAATACCTGTCTCTCACAGCGGTGCGGCGAGCCCTGCAGTTTCTAATGCAGCGGGCTGAAAACAGGGAAGGAGAGCAGATGTAGAAAGGCTCATTGTTGTAATTACCAGTGTCACTATAAACAACGAGAGCTTTGTAGAGCCAGGGACAGGCCTTGTCCACCACGCAGACTGAGGGGATGATTGTACTTGAGATGCACCCACTCATTGTTTTAATCCGTCACATTTCTCTGTCTGTTTCTCCATCAACAGCCGAAGAAGAAGCTGACAGTCTACCTTCTCTACTGTGTTTCAACAGCAGTCATCGGTTCACTACAGTTTGGCTACAACACTGGGGTCATCAATGCGCCAGAGCAGGTGTGTGTGTTGCTCTGGATGTGTGAGTGTTTGCAATATGCTAGATATAATACCACATCTTCTCTCATTTTCTGGTATTAAGATTGTAGTAATCTTCTACAGTGACACACAGTTAAAGACTCTGTCTTTTGTATCAGGTATCTGGTTTGGTTTGGTTTTATAAGTAGGTCTGCTCTGAACTAAATTAAGTTAAGGTGCCAGACATGAGGTTTGGCAGAGCAATAAACCAATGCTAAAAGCTTTACTGCCCCCATGTGGATATGTCAAATCCTCCCTAATATACATTAAGCACAGTCTCCTACATAAGACAAATGCTCTCTTAGAAGCAGCCACCTCTAACCTTGCCATTCTTTTCTGTGGTGTGACAGAAACTGCGCAGGTTTTTCCAGAATGTGTCTATGGAGCGGTACGGGGAGCCTTTCAGCCAAGGAACAAACACCATGGTGTGGAGTTTTTCTGTGGCCATCTTCAGTGTGGGAGGCATGATCGGATCCTTCTCTGTTGGAGCCATGGTCAACAAATTTGGCAGGTGAGCACAAAAGGACTAAACACAGAGGTGCAGAAAATGCTTTAATACAAGATACTAGATAGTAAATTGATGATAGATCAAGAAATTCCCTCACTTAGCAAGCAAAAATGGCAAACAATTGCTGGTATCAGCCTCTCAAATGTGAAGATTTGATACTTTTCTTTTTCATAAATTCATAAATTCACTATCTTTGTGTTTGGACTGATCAGTTTGAACCCTGGGAAATCACAGTTAGTCAATGAATTGAGAAAATAAACTGCAAATTTTGTAAGAAAAAAAATAGTTGCAGCCTCTTTTTCAGACTTTGTACAGTTGCTTTTTTTTTTTTAGTTTTTCTCTTTACTCTCACTAACTATGTCCTTCCTTCTTCCTTGTCATCACCAGGCGCAAGTCCATGTTGCTAAATAATATCCTCGCTCTTATTGGCGGTGGTCTGATGGGCTTGTCGACCCTGAGTCGATCTTTTGAGATGGTCATTGCCGGCCGCTTGGTCATCGGTGTGTTCTGCGGTCTGTGCACGGGACTGACTCCCATGTACGTGGGCGAGATCGCTCCCACCGCTCTCCGAGGAGCTTTCGGCACTCTGCACCAGCTGGGTGTAGTGATTGGTATCCTGGTGGCACAGGTACGGGGGGTGTGATATGGTGATTATAGAACATATAGCATTTTCAGGTACCCTGCCCTCATGAGGGTATTTTTCTGAGACTGTTCCATTTCACTTAAACAGATTTAAATACATCCATTACAAATACTTCATTCCCTGTTGTCTCTTTATTTTAGGTCTTTGGTCTCGAGTTTCTGCTGGGCTCAGACACTTTGTGGCCTCTGCTGCTGGCTCTGACCGCCCTGCCCGCCGTGTTGCAGAGCATCATGTTGCCCTTCTGCCCTGAAAGCCCCCGCTACCTGCTCATTGTCCTCAACCAGGAAGAGGAGGCAAGAAAAGGTCAGTCTGGAAACAGTTGAGACGCTGCCAACAAGATGGCAGCGTCAGGTTTTAATAAGACTGAATCTAGAATGACTCATGGATTTTTAATGATCCGTGGATTGAAGCATGTCATGAAGATGAGGTGGCCTTGTGATTTATTAAAATTTTATCATGTTACGTGATGTTCCAAGACCTTTGCAGCCTCTCTTTTCTTTGACATTATATTTGCATAATAATGTACTGACTTCCTCTCTGTTCATCCATCCCGTCTTCTCCTTGCAGCACTGGTGCGCCTGCGGGGCTGTGAAGATGTGAGCGACGATATTGAAGAGATGAAGGAAGAAGGGATGAAGATGGCCATGGAAAAGAAAGTGACCATCCCTGAACTCTTCCGCTCCCCAAAATATCGTCAACCAATCATTATCGCTATCGTCCTCCAGCTCTCTCAGCAGCTGTCTGGCATCAACGCTGTGAGTAGACATCATAGTTATAGAGTTATAATGTTGTAATTATCAGATGTCAGTCTACATGAAGTGGGCGGGCAGTCTTTAAACTCAAACTTGAATCTTTAAAGGAGCATTCATTGAATTGATACAACTGTTTCAGACAAGCACATGACAGGAGAAGCCTCTTGGCTCCAGGCAATGTTAGATTGAGTGGAATAATGTAATCCTCTGAGGGTCAATGGGAATAGGTATTTTGTTAATAAGGTCATGTAACCAGGCTGACTGAACGTGTTGACAGTTCAAGCATCTGACCCGACAATCACAGTGAAACTGCTGCAGCCCGCAGCTAAAGGCTACAACATCGATTGACCACTGACAGACACATTAACACCCACGACCTACATCACCCACTAGCTAGTACAATTCTACACAATGCAGCTCGTTCCGACTGTGTCACTGTTCAAAAGAGTTAAAGCTTTAGTAATCAATATTTTTTACATTATGTATTTTTACACAAAGAATTATCACCTAACTCTGCTGTTCAGCTCACCTCCACACAGCATTTTAGCTTCTATTAGCTCATCGTTTTGCCTTTACAGCATAAAATTTATTGTTTTAGCTCCCTATCTAATAATCTCACTGTACACCACCTGCCCAGTGCCAAACAGCAGACAAAGTTAGCAACTTGCTGGTGTACATAGTGGAGCATTTAGCAGCTAAGGAAGAAGATATTTCCCTCAGAAGTTGGTAGAGACCAAAACGAAGCTAAAAGAGAGTGAATATTAGACTCAGATTCATCAGGTTGCCGGACGAAAAAACTCCAAATGTATGCAAATTTGCTTCATGTTTGCAAATTTGCTTCATGTTTGCTAATTTGCTTCATGTTTGCTATATGTGTAAACTAGCAGTTTTGCCTTATCAACTTTAAAAGGTGGTAATATGTCAGTGTGTGATTAGAGCTTGGTGCTCTGCCAAAAGTTGCCAAAAAAATCAATTAATACCGATCAGTGTGATGTTATTTAAAGACTGAACTTATGTTAATATGAGATCAATAGCAGCCCCAAATAGTAACTCTTCCTCTTTCTCCCCTCTCAGGTCTTTTACTACTCCACAGGCCTATTTGACACTGCCGGTGTAACTCAACCCATCTACGCTACTATCGGAGCTGGAGTCGTCAACACTGTGTTTACTGTTGTCTCTGTAAGTGTCTGACTACCTGGTTTGTGTCTCCGATGTAGTGTGTTTTATATTTTCTGGATTATTTATCAATCCCTTTTTTTTCCCCCGAACCAGCTCTTCCTAGTTGAAAGGGCGGGGCGAAGGACGCTGCACCTGATTGGACTGGCTGGAATGGCCATTTGTGCCCTCGTTATGACAATCTCGCTCTCTTTAGTGGTAAGTTCATGTTCTTTGAGCTTTTTGCCTGCGAAAATAAAACGTCTCCCTAATGTTCCCTCATTACAATACTCTTTTCTCTCTGTTTCTCTCTCCGAGCAGCAGACCACACCGTCTCTAAGCTACCTGGCCATTGTGGCTGTGTTAGGCTTTGTTGCCAGTTTTGAGATGGGTCCAGGTCCCATTCCTTGGTTCATCGTGGCTGAGCTCTTCTCCCAGGGGCCCCGACCTGCTGCCATGGCCGTGTCTGGTTTCTCCAACTGGACCGCCAACTTCCTGGTGGGGCTTGGTTTCCCTAAACTGGAGGTATGATTACATGTACTACACCCAAATGCTGTTCATGAACGAGTAGTTTGAACTTGCCTTGCAGTTTATCCCACAACAAACACATCTCTCCTCTTCTCTCAGGAAATCTGTGGCCCGTACGTCTTTATCATTTTCACAGTCCTCCTCATTTTGTTCTTCATCTTCACCTTCCTGCGAGTGCCTGAAACCAAAGGAAGAACCTTTGACGACATTGCTCAGGGATTCGCTGCCAGTACAGGGAAACCCACCCTCTCCCCGGTGCCTGAGTCGGTGGTTGTCGGCCTGCCAGACAGCAAAGAACCTGCACCAATGTCTCCCACAGAAAAGGTTCCCATGGTGGATCTTCCCTCAGGGAAACCATGAGCATCTTTAGAAAAAAGAATGAAGCCTTAGGGTATAATGCAGACAAACAGGTTCCAAGCACATAGATACTGTAAGGAGTTATATTTCATAACTCACACAAGAGCAGCGAGGATGTGTTTAGAAAAAGCCAACTCAGTGTATTAATGCAGAAATGAGATTTTAGTTTTTTATTGTATGTTTTTAATGTGCCTTTTTTCAATTAAATTGTGTTTTTAATGATTCCCCACTTACAAATGCTAAAATAATTGACAGAAATCCCTGTAATCCTGCTTTAAACATGGGCCAAACTTAACAGAATTATCATTACTTAATATGTGTTGACATTCCCGGCGCCAGCTCCGTGCATATCGATCCATATAAGAGGATAAACATATGTTCAGTGCTAAGTCCCAGGTCTTCAGCTACCCCCCGTGTTAAAAGGTTGCAGGATTTAAGGGGGGTTTATGTATTGAGGTCAAGCCCGAAAAGCCGGTTTTGGAGAGCAGTAGTTTGACCCAAAAAAGACTTGACTTGCTGTCCTGTCTGCCTGCCTGGTGTGCCTCGCTGCCAGGGGAAGGGATCCATGTTTTCTTGAGTAGACAGAATAAACATGGAGGTGCCGCAGCAGTCCCTCTCCTCTCTTGGGTGCATAAAAAGCACTGACTATAGATTTAAATAAGTATATTTAAGCACGTCTAAGCAGAATATGTATGATGCCGTCATCTGAGAGCGGAGGATGTTTGTGTTAATGTATGCTGTTTGAAGTCTGGAGTGTTTGCGCTGATAAAGAAGTAACTCAAGGACAGTTCTGTAAATCGGTGGTGTCTGCTCCACATGTATTGTTTTTTATGAGGTGTAGTTTAGCACTGCCAAGTCTTAACAAAGTCTCAGTTTAATGATTTCACTGCAGGGTACAACCAGGATGACAGAAAAAAGATTGCTGTAGTGCAGTCATTTACGTGGTGCATCACAACAGTCGGATACAAAAACTCAGGTGGCTATTTGTGTTGTTCTATATGGCTTCTAACTGTTAGAGCAGAGAAAATGCATTTATCCATCACTTTACTTGAAACTCTTCTGTCATCAACACGTAACTACAAGCTACTGCATCACAGCTCATGAAATAAAATATCTCATAATCTCTATAACAGTGTTACGTCAAATCAAAAGCGCTCATCAGTGTTAAACAGTCGTTTGAGGGACGTTTTGAAACACATTCAAGTCTCCTGATAATTAAATGATAAAAATCTCAATCCAATACAAGACACTAGCCATGTGAGGCGGTGATACGGAATAACAACTCTAAATTGATTGTATTTATTTCAGTGGTTTACGCACAAAGAAAATGTCTTATCATATGTTTTTGTGTCCAATTGTCTGAAATCATGTGTCTATATCGTAGAATCTCCAGTTACTGCATCATGATCAGCTATCACAGCACAGTACACATACTTATATATGCGGCATCAATGTTTGTACAGCTGCATCTTCTTCATGAGGAAGCACTCTGGAGCTTCGCAGTGTTTCGTTTGCACTTTGGCAGTCTGACTACTTCCTAATGACTGTTTTGTGTGTTTCATGTGTGGATCCCTGCTACATGTAAATACACTTGTATGTGTTAGGAGATCTGTGGTTTTAGTTGTGTTAGTATATTTGTTTTTCACAATCCTCTTACTTCCACTGATTTTCCTTTCCCTCTGGAAATACTGTTACTGCCAGTGAATGCCACGATGTTGCTTTGCAGTTCTCCACAGTATGCACATCTTTAATATGTATATTTTGCTCTTTTGTTATCTGTTTTTTGCGAGAAAACAGAAATGAGAAGTGACGAAGGTTCAGTGTGTGTGGGATGCAGATAAGAGTTGACCTTTACTGTTGTTTTATTATAAAGTCCTCTCTTCTCCTGCTGTAATAACATGAGTGACACTTGCTTTGAGAAACTAAAAAGGAAGTAGAGTTGTCCATCTCGAAATGTGTGAATGTGAAATGTGTGTGTTGAATTATGAGCATAAGCAGTTTTTTTCTTTTCTTTCTATAATGCCATAAGTCAAAGCAAGTTTGTTGTGATGAATGTTTAATGTAACTGCAGTCTTTGTGCTGAGGTGAAAGTGTGAGAGGTTTGTCCGGTATCCATTTCTACATTGTGGCAACTCCATTTCCTCGTCTGCACCACAGCAAAGCCTCGGTTAGCTGCTCAGTCACACACTGTAGAGCTAAGCAACTCTCTGAAACACTGAAATAAAACCATGACTTAAAAACCAGAGCTTAGTTTTTTTTTTTCCTGTGGCTGCCGCTGCTGCTGCTGCTGAACAGTTGCATTTAAATGATATATTCATAGTCGTGTTGAGTTATGAGGTCAGATTTCCTCTTGAGTCACACAGCTTCAAAAGCCAAACCAGAACACATGTAGAGATGCAAGAGAATATTTACCTCAAAGGGATCCCCTTTGAAACTTTACTTTTCACATTGCATTTTTCTAAAGAAAACATTAATCTAAAATTACACACCTTTGCTGTAGTTGCTCTCACATTCAAGTGAAATCAAATATTAACAGCAAGTCCAGAGGGTGACGTGCGATTGTGGGGATTTTTTTAGAACATAAGCTAAAAAAAAAGAGGGCAGCAACTAATGATTGTTTTCATTATCACTTAATTTTCTGATTATTTTTTCAATTAAATGACTTACGATTTGGTCTACAAGTCAGCAAACAGCAAAACATGCCATCACAAGTTCCCAGAGACGATGATGACATCTTAAAATCTCTTGTTTTGCTCAACCAGCAGTCCACATCCAAAGTTATTCAGACTAAGAGGACCAGGAAATATTCTCATTTGAGAAGCTGGAATCAGTTGGCTTTTTTTTTTATCATTATCAAATAACACAGTTAATTTTCTGATGAGTGACTATGAATTCAATTGTCAATTAATTGTTTCAGCTCCAAAAAACACACATTTCAATCATGGTGGCACAGGGAACAAGTTCTTTCAGAACAAAAACAAAATGATGGATTTGAGAAGTTTTAAATACCTGCTTAATGAGTTGAGGAGCATCATCCATTTCCCACTCCACTTTACCTTCTGTACATCAGCCCCTCGGAGCAGAGAGCCGAGGGTAAAGGGCCCCCGGCTGGCTGGGAATGGGGCCATCTAACTGTGTCAAGCCAATAGGCAACATCTCCCTGCAAGAGTCTACTGGAGTCTTATTCATTGCAGTGAACTGGGGCATGAAAGCCCATCAACAAGCTGCAGTGCTGCAGACTGACCAGCGAGTGGCGTGCACGGACCAGAGGGCTGTTCAGCTCTGCGTGTGTCTGCGTGTTTGTGTGTGTGTGTGTGTGTGTGTGTGTGTTTGTGCGTGTCTAGATACTGTCTGGATGAGCAGCCCTGTGAGGCGAGGAGTGTGTCTGAGAGAAAGAGGGGAGGGGGGTGGGTGGTGTTGTCATATGAGGGATGGAGTGCATCCAGAAATGTGTCCAAATTATATTCATTTTCCATTAAAAAAAAAAGTAGAAGTGAGCAAGAAACAAGAAAAAATAGAGGAGGAAAAAAATTGGGTACACTTTCACATGCCACAGCTTGAAAAATGCAAGTTAGCACAGTGTTCAGACGTGTGAGGGATGCCACAGTTTGAGGCTCAGTCTGCCAGGCGGCCTTGCAGAAATTTGTGCAAGGCATTAGAGGAGAGCTGGAACGAACGCCGTCAGACATGTCTAGACATTAGTTTTAGAGACCAGACAAACTTGTTTATTAATTTTTCCACCTCCGTCTTTCTCTGTCACTCTCTCTTGTTGACTCTCTCTTTGTGCCTTTGTTTCTCTCAAATCAAAAAAAAAAAAGAAGTCTCTCCCACTTTCCTCCTTTCTCTCTCTCTGATCTCTTTCTCTCCTCCTGTCTCTCTGACAACAGTGTTTTGTTTACTTCCTCGCTTGGCAGTGTACTTATTGTATGTGCTGCTCTGTAAATATTTTTCTCCTTCCCTCATCCATTCATCTATCCACCCCCTCAACCTCTCCCTCTCTCTCTCTCTCCCTCAGATAAAGGGAGCAAACAGACTCCACCCCCTCTCTCACCCCCCTCTCCCTCTCTCGCTCCCTCTCACACACACTCACTCTATCTCCCTCTTTCTCTCTCTTTCATGCTCTCTCCCTCCCTCTCTCTCTCTGTCAGTGTCATTCTGTAGTGGAGATGTGGAGTGTCTTTCTGTCTCTCTGTCTGTTTTTCCAGCCTAATTCAGCGGAGGAAGGTAAGGGCTAAACTTTCACATGTATCTATTCACATTAAATCTTTGATCTTTGCTGGCGTGTGTGTGTGTGTGTGTGTGTGTGTGTGTGTGTGTGTGTGTGTTGTGTGTGTGTGTGTGTGTGTGTGTGTGTGTGTGTGTGTTTATGGCTATAGCGTGATGGAGAGTTTACACAGCTCTCTCATCATGTGCTTGTAATGAGTCCACAAGTGAAGGATGGACACTTGGTATGCCTCTGTAATAGCTCTCTAAGAATGTGGCTCTCTGGGAATTCTGGGCACTTTGACAACGTGTGAACCAGTGGCACGTAAGGCCGCAGCACCACGAGAAAGTCCAATTCATCCATGGATTCTAGGGGCTCCACCTCCAGCTTGGGACCCCCTGAATAATTACCACCTTTCCCCTTGCTCACACAGCTCTCTGTGTGTTAGTTTTACGTGCTCTGTATTGTGTCTGATTGAGTGAATATGCATGTACACGTTTGTGTGTGTGCCACTGTGGCAGCACATCAGATAGGACTTTGTTGGCATGGAAGTGCCAGGTGCGTGCCGGGGCCTATCAAGCTCCGGCAACAAAAGAATATGGAAATAAGGCATGAGACAAATGAATAATAAGTTGCATAACCCGTTTCTGTTCGATTGTTGCGGACCCCCCCCCCCCCCCCCTCTCCCCTCATGTCACTCATGATCTTATGGATGTGACAGCCAGAGACCCCTGCCCCCCTCCAGTATCGTTATCAGCGCCCCTTTCTTTTCTGTGGATGCATCCTCGCTTCTCTGCTCTTAACTCTCCACGCTTTGTCTACACGAATGGAAATATTATGTCTTGAAAAGTGCATGAGCAAGTGAGCGAGTGTGTGTGTGTGTGTGTGTGTGTGTGTGTGTGTGATGGTGA